TTTTAGTCCCTTTCCATTTCCCTTTCCACCCTTTTCTTAAGAGGAAAGGATGGGAAGGAAAAGTGGATTTGACGCATAGTAAGGGGAAATGTCACCTTTATGTGCGTCTTCTCCTACGTCAATTAAGGGTAGGCAACGCATCTGCAATTGCGAATGTTTATGGGCAGCGGTTGCTTTCCATTGCGGTGGATTCAGGTGGCCGCTTGCTCGTTTGCCACCTAATAATATAAAAAAAACAAATATCATTTACAACTTACATACTGTCAACTTTGTTATTTGCTTTCGTTACTATCGAGTCAAGCAAACCAGTATCCAGGACCACTTTGGGAATCGTAGTATCAAAACTAATTAAACAGCAGCTAAACTCGCATTTTAAACAATTCGGTATCTACGTCGGACTATAAATGTGGGTAGTTCAAAAACTTTATTAATATGTTTTAGGAAACTTTTATGATATCACTTTATAAATACGCAATAATAATATGGATCGTTTTAAAATAAAACTACTCTTTATAAATACAGATTATTTGCATTAAATAAGCCAAAACTATTAAAATCTTTCACTGTTGAAAAGCTACCCTTAACAATAACATAAGCTACATTTATTACTAGAACGTTATTTTAATTCACGCACTAAGTTACCGGCAACTGTTAGTATGTGATTTTTTATTTAACTATAGTTTAAAAAATTGAAAATCGTAAAATTACAAGATAATAAAAAACATAGCCTATGTTACTGACTGATAACGTAGCTTTATAATGGTTTTTTTTTTTTTTAATCGGCCTAATAGTTTATGAGTTATTTCAATACATACAAGTTACTTTGTTATTTTCTAACGGTAACATAAATAAGTGAATAAGTACATTTCTCTTATAAAATCTGCAAGCAGGGAAAGTAGAAGTTATTCGCAAAGGCAATGATCCTTACCGTATACTTAAAACTTTCTTACATTACTTTGCTCGTTTATCATGCGAAAGAAAAGTTATCGAACTACATTTGCTTTTTGCAAAAGGTAACGTACGATAATATATTTATGAACTCGGTCGTTTACAGTAAAAAATCAATAACATGTTCTTTAAGGCTTCAAAACTTACAAATATAAAAGTACACATTTTCGCCCGCGTAAAATTAAAAAAAAAAAACAAAAGTATGTCTACGTTCTACCTCTATTCAAAATATCATAAAATTCCATTGACAGTTTAAGCTACAAACTATAAATCTAAACTTTCGAATTTACAACATTACTAGCTTTCGCCCGCGACTCCATCCGCGTGCAATTAAAAAATCAAAAGTGTGTAGCCTATGTGTTCTTCCAGGCCATCCTCTACATCCACGCTAAATTTCAACGGGTTTCGTTTAGCCGTTTAGGCTATAAACTCTAACAAACATCCATCCATCCGGCCATCTGAACTTTCACATTTTTAATATTATATAATTAAGAAGTAAGATTAGTTACGTTATAATAATTGTAAAATTTACATAGTGAGTATGAAAGAAGAAACGAGACAGGACAGTAAAGGTCATTACTGCTTACCCGTATGAGTTCCCAGCGTGATTATGATGTTTAAAAAAATGATAAGTTAGAAAAAAGTTTATCTGTGCGGATGTAATTTTTAAGTTTATCAACTTTAAAAAACATGTCTTTTTAGCTTTGAATGAAAACGAATTTTTGATTTTTCTCCATTTTCCTCATGTAGGCTTTCAACATTTCAAGTGCGTCGTACATAATTTGCGTTTGTCGGTTGCCATTCAAGCACCTCTTATAAGTCTAGCCCCACAGCATTCCTGAGGGTTCGAGTGCTGGGGACTGAATTCAAACGTTAAAACAATACGTACTAGTATAGTTCACGTGAAAGGAATTTCGAGATCGTCAAAACAACCCCTTAGGTGAGTGGTTTGGATAACTACTTCGTATGACAATTTTTTAGATTAGTTTCGAAAAAAATTTTTTTTTTTAGTTTTAAAGCATGTTAACCATCGTTATTAAGGTGATTTATTGTACAGTTACAGATATACTCGGTGTACCACTTTTAGAAAAATTACCTTGTTCTTTCCAACTAGATATATTTCGCTTCTACTTACAAATAACTAGGTTTCGTTAATAAATTGTAATTCGGCGGCCTTTTTTGTATAGACAGATTTAAAGATTGCACTCTCTTGGTTATTGCTCCACGTCTACTTAATGCGTAAAAATCATCCAAATGTCTAAACTCAAAGAAGAAATACTGCCAAATGCCTTGATAGTACATTTTTCCAACAAAAAAGTTAATTAAATCTTAAGCTTTTTTTGTAATGAAATAATTGTAATTCACATTCTTTTTAATTTCAGATAATTAAAACATTTTATTTAAAAAAATTTGTGACATTGCTCGCTGGATAAATATGCCTTTTTCCAAGCGTAGATATAAAGTAATAGAATGTATAACGAATTGTTTACAAGCGTTATATTGAAGTTCGACATAAGCTATACTTTTATATCCCGCGCCTACGCGCCTCCGCCAACAGATAATAAAGCTGACAGCTGTCGATGCGTCCATAAACTTTTTATAGCAACGCCCATACATTCAGTGGAAACAATAGGCGACATGCCATCGGAATATATTGTAAGCCTTATGTCACTGACAAACTTCGAAATCAGACATTTTAAAATCTAACAAAGCTATGAAATTGTGTGACTTTTTTTACAGTTTGTAAAACAAATGTAATCGAGTAAGTTAAATTTATTAAGTTACAATTTAAGATAAAAGATTAGCTACATTCTATTCATAAAAATCATGGTTTCCCTGTTATCTTAATATGGCTAGTGAATATAGAAACTGTCGATTTTCACAATCGATCGGTGACGTAGATAACAAAGTTTATACCTATACCGTTGCGTATGTAAATGAAATGTGAAAATAAAGAAGAATAAAGAAGTGAATGTTTAAAGAAGAGCGCTAAAAACAGAATATTACTGGGATATTAATAGACTTTGACTTTTAAATGACAGGACCTGTCAAACGTGGGCATTCCCATCTCCAACAAACTATGAATAAGTTCTATATTTGCTTGCTGTGCTCGTTTTGTGTAAGTATACATTTTTGATTAAACATGCGTTCATAAACATATTTTTTAATTTTACTAAGTACAATGTATGATCACTCATTGCCATTCTTACCTCATGGCTCTCTAAAAGTGGCAGAATTTATTATGCTCAGCGGCACCGGCTGTCAAGTCCATTTCTCTATACGCAAAGATAGGGATATATTCTGAGCTCTTGCGCTTTAATGATTCCTTTGAAAATAGAATGCTTAGCGTTTTTGTTCAGAACATTGTTTCCTTACATTTTCTGCGCAAATTAGTATGTATTTTAGCTTGCATTTTATTTTAGCCATTTTTCATTTCTACGAACGATTGGTCCATTGTTTGCTATTTTTTTCTGTGGGTTTTTCATTGTTAAAATATTTCTTGATTGATTATAAATTTTATTCATTATGCTATTGCAAAATAGACGTTAAACAATTTCGAGAAAACATTCAAAACGCTAGATTAACTTACTAAATAAACTTCGCAAAACTAAACCACAAATAAACAAGTGTATTTAATGATAAGGTAAGGGAACTTGTTTACTTTCTCTGAAACAGAACACGACAAACCTTAGTTGGCAACAAAGATATTACAACATATATAGAGGAGGCATAGGCATTGGAAGCATTTTTCATACATCACTAATACTATCTGTTGATTGGTACTTTAGAAAACATACATTCACATTGTTTATAAATTATTTGAAAAAAATGAAGCTTATTACAATGTTTTATTACAAGTCAATAGAAAGACACGAATTGGCACTAAATTTGACAACTGACATAGTACCTATTAAAGAAAGTATCGGTGAAAAAATGTTGTTCACAATGCCTCGTCTATAAATTATTTTAATGTCTTTAGGTAATAAATAATTTCAAAGCAATAACTTTTAAACTATTAACAGTGTAAACGACAAACAATCGAGTGTAAATAGAATAGAGGTATTGAAAGCTGAAAGCCCAACAGACCGAATTTAGCTGAATTTATATTATCTGTTAAGTCGAGACGAATATCCACCATCAGGTAAATTAACAGCATAAGACGGTTCTTATATTCTGGAGCAATTTACAATCAATGTAAAAACAGAATATTACTTAAGAAAAGATTAGATGGATGGATGTTAATCAGAGTTTTCCGCCCAAACGGCTGCACGGATCTTGATGAAATTTGGCATAGATATGGAGGATAGTCTGGAACTACAAAGGCTACTTACTTAGTCCACGCGGACGTAGTCGCGGGCGAAAGCTATCATGTTATATTTGTAAGATTGTAATGGTTACAACTACAGTATCACCCGTGTTAAAAAAACTTTTATTTACCTCATTTTTTAATCTAAATATATGGTAAAAGTATTCTAATCTGAAATTTTATTAAAATGATTTTACTTTATGTTATGACGAAAATGTTGCTTTTCTTTCTTTAGTAGAAGAAAGAAAAGCAAGTAATAAGAAAAAGTTTTAACAAATGGCTGGTGTTATAGGTAGGGAGAACTGTTTCGAGCTTGCAAAAGCTAATGTGAAAGCTATGACTTGATGCGACTTTTTGTTTGTTTTAGCTTCTGTGTAACTTTCAGACAGAGCTAAATTAACTTCTACTTATATTTATCAGAGCAAAATTATAAGTGTTAATAATATTTCTATGTTAATTTCGTAATGGATTTTCACATCAAGTCACTTTTATTTGCTAAGTACTCCGAGATGAGAATAACGCTTTTAAAACTCCTGAAATTAAAACGATTGTGTAACGTTTTTCATTTAAAATTTACAGACAATCGGAATTACATTGTGTCTGAAATAATGAAGACTTAGGGGATGGATTAATTTCGTGAAGAACCGGAGAGCGTAGGCAAGGTCCGGGCGGCCGGGCGTATCCGGCGGAATAACGCGACACTAGCGCTGCACACACTTCGTCCGCAGTTTTACTTCGCGCTCGATCCGAGTGGACGTGTTTGTGGTGAGCTCCGCGGTAATACATCGATTTTTAGTCGCGTTAGTGTGTGTGTGATACTTGTGTGAGTGAAGTGATAGTGTTAAAGAAAATTTGTTGTAAGTAATTTTTTTAAGTGTATTATAAATTTTGTATATTTTTTATATGTGAATGGCCGTAAAAATGCTACGGTTGTTTTTATTGAATCATTTTCTGGGCCCGTGTCGCTTAATCAACGGTTGTCAAAACTTTTAATAACTCGCCTCGCATTTTAGTGCGGCAGTAAAGTACTTTTAAGGGCGTTCAGTATAATTGACATTTCAACGTGTTAATTGCTGAAGTTCTAATTGGAAAAAGATAATTCTCTACTAAAGGCAGTATTTATAATATAAAAGCTACAGTTTGAAAGCTTGTAATTGGTTAAAAATTTTAAATAAAAGGTACTGCACTAAATGTACAAATAAATGGATACACCAATTAAAAAATCAATATCATGTATTTATTTCTACACTTAATAAATTTACATAAGTTGTTTTTCCTGGAGAAAAAAAATCTAACGCCTTAACTCATGCATTTTTTAACTCTGACACAATTCGAAGGAAGTTTTTACGCAATGAAATGTTGCATCCGCGTTAAATAATTAATGTAGTATTTATGAGTTTGTTTTTTAATTATTGCAACCTATTTTTCTATAATCCGATGGCAATTAACGATATATCGATTGTTCGTTCTCATTTATAACGAAGTCATCGTCATCGAAAATGCTTGAAATTTAATCGAATTCTAGTGTGACATTTTATTGGCAAAAATATTGCGACTTTCATTTCATATTTCGAGTTGGTTTCACTTGGTAATAGCAAACTAATTTAACTTCTCAGTGGTAATTGCATTCCATCTACTGTCGTGTAAGACAAGACAGAAGGATACTACAACCTCAGTAAAGACCGTGAAAGTGTACTCTGATGATTGATTACAGATTGAAGACTATACACTAGACACCATTGCTTTATAAAAAAAAAAAAAAACATTTTACAATACATCATGTCTTTGGTTAAAAATTAAGCCTAGTGCTTCAATAAGTATTTTTGTGAAGAAAAGATTTTTCTTTGAAGGTTTATTTTGGTTCTGACGTGCATTTTTAGATTAATATAAGACAACAAAAAATAATAGCGTGCTGGCTGATAGTAACCGCGGGCTGGTGTTGCCGTAACAGCCAACATCTACAATAGGTCAAAGGTTGCAGATAAATAATTAGTTGCAGATATCTTCTATGTATAGAGAAGATATACATAATTGTGTCTTTTCTACAAGTATAGTCTCATCTATCAAATTTGATACACTCTATGGTGTGTAATTCGGAAAATTATTTTTTATAGCATAAGGTGGCAAACGAGCAATCCGCCAGGTGAATTAGTTGAAAAAACGAAGCGATCGCTGCCCATAGACAACTGCAATTGCTAGTACGTTGTCTACCTTTAACCCACAGAGGAGGAGACGCAGGGATGTCCCTCTTTCTTTGCGTCCCTCTTTGTCTTGGTTGTACCGACCAAGCCGTCCTGCAAAAGATGTTCCTACGGGCTCTCCAATCCAAAATCTTCCGTTCCATCTGTTTTTGAACACGCCTGGACATCTGGATTTTGCTTTGTTTTAACACAATTAATTTCATCAGGTCCTGTTTGCTTGGTCATTGTTTGTCTAATTAAATGAAGTGCGGACAGCCTAACTAATGGTCGGCTAATGTTTTTGTCGCGTGACGTCATTACCGTTTCTGAATGATTGATTAGCTGAGCGTTTCGCTCTCTTTGATAGCTCAATGTTCAGATCAGCTATCGCTCATTAGCTGGTTATGTTTAATAGGTAAAAAAGGGGGCGTTTTAGATAAGGGAATGAATAATGAGGTTCTTTCAGCGATTTTAATGTGAAATGTTACTATAAGAAAACTGCTTTTGATTTTGCTAGATAGCTGTAGTTCTTCTAGTAAAGGGTTCCTGTTCTATTTATATATGTTTTTGAAATTAAACCAACGACTATAGCCACAAATGTAATACTAATAAAGTTGTTCCAAATCATTCTAACAAAAAGTATTTTTTTAGATGACTAGCTTTCGCCCGCGACTCCGTCCGCGTGAAATTAGAAAAAAACAAAAGTGAGTAGCCCATGTGCTCTTCCAGACTATCGTCTACATCTAAGCATATTCGTATTTATAATATTAGTAAGACTGTTACTACCTCACCTCTAAAACGGCGTAACAAATCTCGATAAAATTTGGCACAGATATAGATGTCTAGAAGAACACATAGGCTATATTTCTTTTTAATATTCCACAGACGACATCACTGGCGTCTATAAGGCTTGTAACACATATTTCAAATTTATCATACTAAAATGTTAGTCACTTTTATATCTAGTTTTTTCCATTCTAAGAGTTAAGAGAGAGCAATAATGTGGTAGTGATTGACACAGTCAATATCGCAGTGTACAAACGTCCATACAAAAGGCAATAACTACGATCGGAGCGCACTCTACTGTAATACGATTTGAGAGTACAGCACTCGGGTCGTGTTTACGCGGACAATCTTGATACTTGATTTAAAAGTATTGTATTTGCTTGGATCTAATATTGTGTAATTGTGTTGTTTTTGTGTAAAATGGAAATATATTTCAGTGCAATTTTTATCTATTCTGTTATAATAAAGCGTAAACACACACTTCTTTGTTGCCTAAGATGTCAGCAATTACAGCATATTTTTGAATAATTTATTTTTTTGAATAAGAAGCCCTATACTTGTGTCACGCTTTAGGCTATATTATATATTTCCACGCAATTAAACTTAGGAGGTAAATGTTTTGGATAAAAACCCTAATGTGTGAAAGAGACCATAAGTTGCTGCCAACATCAAGAAAGTAGGATTGCCAAGGTTTGTCATGTCATGTCATTTTGACATTTGTAATTGATAATTTGACAAATATAAACAATAGAATAAAGTTTTCATAATTTCATGCGGATGAAGTCGCACGGGAACAGCTAAGTTCTACAGTTTGAATTGAATTTTGTTTTTTTAGGTTGTCAATTGTTCAATTACTAAGAAGTTAACGGTATTTGAAAATTAATTATTTTTATATATTTGACGCATGATTACATGTAGGTTCTATTCCTAATTTTGAAAACTTCATTTTTTTCTCAATTACAACAAAGGCATTATCAATACGTAATTTATTTCATTAATTTTCATACCATTACTTCGACAACAATAATTTTCCTAACAACTTTATTGCTGAAAGGGAAGTCCTGTTTTGAATTGAAATTACGCTTTGAATTTTCTCAACACGCCATAACACAATGGCTCAGAATTCGGAATAATTAAAAGTTTTAAACGATAAATAAATCATTTTGAGGGCGAATACTTTTGACATCAATTTCACGCTCCTTTTATCTTAAAAATACTTAACTCTTTATGTAGTTTTAATTTTTATAAACACTAGCTGTTGCTCGCGACTTATTCCGCGTGAAATTGCAAAGCATATGTTACTCATAGATGAATTACCTTTCTAACGGTGTAAGAATTTCGAAAATCGGGCCCTGTAGTTTTTGAGTTATTACAATACATTCAAAAATACAAAGTTTTCCTCTTTATGATATTAGTATAGATTGCTCAATGAATCGATAGACTCAAAAGGTATTCACAGAATTAAATTCGTTTCCCACCATCGAAAATCGTATAGCAAATCGCCATAAGAGTCATTCACTCGTATATATGTTATTAATTCTAGTGTTCGACCGTATTACGTTATGAGATTCAAATGGTTTTCACCGAGGTGGGTAGGGGATTAACGTCCTCTACTGTATGTGTACAGTCGGGGAAATTGGCGGTGAAAAGCTGCAGTCGCTTGAACATTTTGAAACTAGACGCGGAACAAAAATCAATACAACGTAGCTTATAAATGTATCAGTTCGAAATAAAGTTGGTTATACACGGTTAGTTTCTTTTTATTAATATCCTAAACCATTACAATGGAATTTACATATATACACCGACATACATAAAACATACATAACAGTTTATTAAAAAATGTTTTTAGAAACATATCAAAGTATTTTTATAATCATGATACAGACGAAATCGCGAGCAACAGCCAGTCAAATTCACTATTAGAACAATTTAATCGGTACATAGGAATCCCGTTTACTCAAATAAACGTAGTTCAGGCGCGAAATACTTGGCCTAGTGCCCAATGACGGCCGCGGGTGTCGACTGTCCTCGGTTACTTTATTGTCACGGATTAGTTCATTTATACGAGTACTAAATTAGTTAAATAAAAACAAACTCTACCTTTCAATATCAAACAAACATTTAAAAGTCATCACCACACCAGCTGTTCCCGTGCGGCTTCATCTGCATGAAATTATGAAAATTTTAATTTGTTGTTTACATATATCAAATTATCAATAGCAAATGTCAAAATGACATAACATGATAACCTTGGCATTCTTGTTTTCTTGATGTTGGCAGCAACTTATGGTCTCTTTCCTACATTAGGGTTTTTATCCAAAATAAATACCCCCTAAGTTTAATGGCGTGAAAACATATAGCCTAAAGCGTGAAAGTGTAGGGCTTTTTATTTAAAATAGTACTATTCAATTATCATGCTTGCTGTAATTGCTGACATCTTAGGCAACAAAGAAGTGTGTGTTTACGCTTTAGTATTATGGTATAGATACAAAGGCGTTTTCCGCTGTATGTATGTATGCTTATAACTTTAAAACTAGGCAATATTTGATTTATGGGGAAGTTTTATACGTAAAATACATCTTACTATTATTATTAATGCAAAAGTTTAGATGGATGGATGTTTATTAGAGTTTGTAGCCTAAAACTGAATGTATGTCGATAAAATTTGACATAGATGTAAAGTCTGGAAGAACAAGTTACTTACTTTTTAATTCTACTCGGATAGAGTCGAGGGCAAAAGCTAGTGTTTAATAGTAAAGAAATGCTGATAATCTTCATATCAGTATTTCTTTCTTTCTGTAATTAGATTTTAATATGAGCACCACCCGTTCAAAGCTCTAGCTAGTTAAAAATATAACTAGATACTAACCTCAAAGGTCACGGATTAT